TTCCTCGGGTGTCGGAGTCGATAGAATCGATGGAGATGCTAAGTATGCCTTCAAATTTGTAAATGCTTCCTCACATTCCTGACTCCAGGATGCTCCCTTCTTTCCTTTGATTGACTGAAAGAAGGGTTTGCACTTATCCGATGCACGGGATATTAATCTCCCCAATGCTGTTGCCATTCCCATTAGCCTCTGCACCTCTTTTACAGTTCGAGGGGATCGCAGTTCGGCAATGACCTTTACTTGTTCGGGATTCACCTNCCCAATGCTGTTGCCATTCCCGTTAGCCTCTGCACCTCTTTTACAGTTCGAGGGGATCGCAGTTCGGCAATGGCCTTTACTTGTTCGGGATTCACCTCTATCCCTCGGTGAGTAACTAGAAATCCCAAAAAGTTCCCCGAGTCGACTCCAAAGGCACATTTTGAAGCATTTAATTTCATGTTATACGTTCGCAGAACCTCAAATGTGCTTTTGAGATCGGTATAGTGATTTACTGCCTTCTGACTTTTCACCACCATATCATCAATGCAAACTTCTATTGTACTGCCTATCATATTTGAAAACATTTTATTTACTAACCTCTGATATGTTGCACTAGCATTCTTCAATCTGAATGACATTACTTTGTAACAGTAAGTTCCATTTGGTGTTATGAAGGCAGTCTTTTCTTGATCTTCTTATGCCAGGGGGATCTGATGGTATACCCTATAGGCGTCCAAGAAACTCATTTGCTCGTGCCCAGTGGTGGCATCTACCAACTGATCTATCTTCGGCAAAGGGAAGCTGTCATTTGGGCATGCTTTGTTTAGGTCGGTGAAGTCAACATAGACCCTCCACTTCCCATTTTCCTTTTTAACCACAACAGTGTTTGACAGCCAGGTCGGGTACTGTACTTCCTTGATTGTTCGGGACTCTAATAAATGTACTACTTCTTCTTTCACCGTTTCCTAGTGTTGTAGTGCCAACCTCCTTAGTTTTTGTCTGATTAGCTTGAAGCTCGGATCGACGTTCAATTGATGACATGCTACTTCGGACGGTACACCGGGCATATCAGAGGTGGTCCATGCGAAAACGTCGGCATACTCTCGTAAAAGAGTGACGAGCTTGGTTTTCTGCTCAGGACTCAGAGCAGTCCCAAGCAAAAAGTACTTTTCAGGATCCCCATTCTTACTTAAAGGTACTTTAGTCAAGTCTTCAATTGTTCAGTCTGAAACTTCTTTTCGGTGCCTAAATGTACTTTAGGGCCTTCCTCAACAGCATGATCTGTTTGTTTAATCGAGCTGTGAAAGGTTAATTGCTATTTTGCCTCCTCGGACATTGAGTTCTTCTCACGAGCCTCAACTCCTCCTTTGGGTTTGACCGAGGCTAACAAACAAGTTCTGGCACTAACCTGGTCTCCTCGGATATTGACTACTCCTTCAACTAAAGGGAACCTCAGTATTTGGTGGTACGTTGAGGGTACCGCCTTCATTGTATGTAGCTAGGACCGCCCCATTATCGCATTATACGCAGAGACCATATCCACCACCAGGAACTCGATTATGATGCAAACTGGTCCTGTCTTTCCAGGCAATGTGATTTTCCCCCTACGAAGAACTATTTTTCCACTAAAGCCGATAAGTGGAGTATTTGAAGGCTTGAGATCCTCCTTCCTAAGTCCAAGTTTCTCAAACAAATCCGAATACATGATCTCTGACGAATTCCCCGGATCAATCAGCACCCTTCTTACATTAAAGTTCGCAATCCAAAGCGTAACAACTAGAGCGTCATTGTGTGGTTGGTGCACTCCAACCAAGTCCTACTCGGTGAAACAGATTGCTTTGGCTGACTCCTCTATCTTGATTCTTTTGTTGGTTACCTCTGGGGTTAACCGCAACTCACAAACCTTTCTCTCATTGGCAGCTTTTTGGATGTAAGCCCAAGCAGAATTATTTGTGGACATCTGCGGGTTGGTGGCAGCATGGATTACATCGATCACCCTTAATGGAGTGTTGTGGTCCCCACTTGCCTCAATCTTCCCTCCATCGAATTTTTGCTTACCGTCTATGAACTCGGTGAGATATCCAGCCTGGACGAGCTCCTCCAAATGCTGCTTCAAAGATCGACAATTTTCGGTCATGTGGGCCACATCCCTGTGATACGAACACCTGAAGTTCAGATTCTTTTTTGACGAATCTCCTATTAACTTGTTCGGCCATTTGAAAAATGGCTTTGTCTTGATCTGGTTTAATATCTTGTAAATTGGTTCCTTGAATAGTGTATTTACTCCCAGGAATGGGGACTTCTGAGGATATCCATCCTTCTCATTCTTCCTTCCTCCTTCTCTGTTTGGCTTAGTCTGCTTGTCTCTGCCGAACTGTCTCCTGCTCGGATGTTCTTTAACCCCGTCCCTGGATAGGTCATTATCGATATTGGCATACTTTTCAATTCTAGACATCAACTCTTCTAGATCCGTTGCTGGCCTTCTCGTGAGCGACTGATACAGGGGGTTTTCCTTCAGCAACCCGATATTGAAGGATGCAACTGTAATCTCTGGATTGTACCCTTCAACCTCATTCATAGTTTCCCAATAACGATGAGCGTACTCTCGCAAGCTTTCGTTATTCTTCTTTTTTAGCGTCAATAGTGCTCCAACATCCTTCGGCTGCTTGTTGCTCGTTATGAATCGATCTGTAATCTGTTCGGCTAACTAGGACCACCCATCGATAGTTTCCTTTGGTAGGCTGTCAAACCATTTCATGGTTGATTCCCCAAGACTGCTAGGGAAGATAGTGTAGAGTAGGGGCTCGTTTTTTCAATAAATGGTCATCAACTGCCTATAATGTTTGATGTGCGAGGCTAGATCGGTCTTTTTATCATATAGTTTGAAGTTCGGGACGGTGAACTTGCTCGAATCCGTCCCTTTTCAATCCAAACTGTAAATGGAGATGACTCCGAACCATCTCCATATTCTTCTGTCGCTTTTCTGGCCAGATCCCTAGCCGACCTCTGTTCTGGTCTCCTCAGGCGGTTGTTGAGTTCCTCGATAATATATTGTTTCCATGCAACCTCCTCTTGAACCCGAGGTTTCTTCTGCTGATGACAATCTTCATTGTTGCTTCTGTATTTGTCAGGTTTCCTTTCAGGACTTTCCCAATGGCTTTCCCTCGCACGTTTCTTTTTCATGGTCAACTCTTTTATTCTGGTTTTAAGCTCATCGTTTTCTTTGATCAAATCTTTTTCCTTGCATAAGGATTTTTGAACAACTTATCGTGGGCATCGAGTCTGTCCTGCACGGACTGAACCAGCTTCACCAAGGAGTGGTTTTCCCCGTTGGCACAGAGGGATTAACCATGATCTTCAATTTGATGGTTATGTTTCCTTGAGGGCTTGAAACTGGCAGAGGACATATCTTCGCCTTCATGGGATTTAGAAGGGCTTCTTCTTGCTTGAAACCGTGCATTGCTTCCAGGTGGGATGGATGCAGGATCGAAGTCTCCCAAGGTGAAACTGCCTCTAGGTGAACCGATTGCGCTTCTGAGTTTAGACATTGTGGCTTCTTGTTGCAAAAGATGGAAATTTTCCTACAGACGGCGCCAAATGTAAGAGGCAAAAAATCGAGATTACCTTCTACTGGAATTGAAATGTTTATGGGTTTTTGAACTTGATCTCCCAATTTTTATTTTCCTGCAAAACGAACAAACTGTCCAAGATCGAAGTGCTTCGATCGAAGGCACTCCGATGCTTAAGTCAGTAAGGATAATGAAATGAATAGAAGAAGACAATAAGGGTTTAGCGTACCTTTCTTCTTGGCTCCTTTTGCTTTTTATAGTTGGACGTCCCCTTAGGGTTTCCGTAATTCTTGATTCAAGGTGGCACACATTCCTCTAATTTAGTGACTCGGTTTAGGAAGTTGCTGATATTTCTCCATTATTTTTCTCTTGATATCTACAATTTCTCTGATTCGCTTATCTTGATTGCCTAAGTTATAGGCGAATTTCTATTCTTCTGTTTATTATCTAAAACAGCTTGGCCACATCGAATGCCGAGCATACTTGATATTTGTCGAACAGATTAAGGGACTTGGTTTGGCACAAACTGATCTCTTCAATTGTCTTGCCGAACACTTTAACGAACTCAGCTTGGTACAAGCCGATCTCTTTCATTGCTTAGCTGAACAAACTGATGAGTTCGGTCATAAAAAATGCCGATCCTTTTCTGCCATTGCCGAACCTCTAATTAGCTCATCTTGGTTAAAAAGATCTGATAGAGGATTCTTGATCACAAACCTTGTCTTGTCAACAGCACGTGAGCATATTTAATGTCATGTCACGTGTAATCATGAAGTTTAACCCTTTTAGTTGGACTCTTTATTTTCGCTAACAAATGTTAGGGCAACTCTAACTTACTCTCTATTTCCTTTTCTTTTTTTTTTTTTTTTAGCTATTTTAGCTAGCAAAACACTAAAAGAACTCTCCAACCCACTCTCTATCTCACTCTCTATTTTCCATTTCACCCAAATATCTCTTCAAATGTGAAGAGCCATTTAGCCTTTCCAAATTCTCTCTCTACATCTTTTTCTTTCTATCTCTCTTTATATATGTTGTAATTCCCTTTAAATTATTGGAATTTAGTGAAAGTTAGGTGAAGTAGTTAGTTAAAATAGAGAACGTAATTAGAGTAAATTTTATAAAAATGATTAGTTAAAGTGAAAAATATAATATTTTAATATATTTTGACCAGTTATTTTAAAGAGTTGAGATAAAGTTTCTATTGCTTTCTCCTGTTCTATTCGCTTTGCCCTTATCGAACAAGGAGTCAATAAGTCACTTGAACAATGTCTAAGCCTCACTTGGAGCTTTTTAAATACAATGCTATAACAGTTATTTTTTTTAAATGTTTTGCTTAATGAAGAGACCAAGAATTCTTCAACATCATAACAGTACTGTACATATATGATTTTAGAATATTTTCTTTATGGGTCAAATTTTGTGTCCAAAAAACTATAAATGAATAAGGCTAGGGAATTACAGAGCTACCATGCCAAAATTAATTTGGAACTACTGATTTTGGTTTGAATAATTTGCAATCATGGGTACATGGTAAAATAATAAAATAAGAAAATTTTATACGTGATCCACTTTTTTGATGAAAAATGGATTTTGGTATTCTAACGGAATCCACCGTAAGTAATCAAGAGAGCAAAATAAAGTTCTTACTCCTTGTTATTCTTTATTTCTTCCAAATCATGTGATTGGACAGAAAAGCCAACCAAAAAGGAAACTTATTTGAGAAAACCAAATTTAAAGTGAAAGGGAAATTCATGCCCTAACATGTCAGATTATCCCCGGGGGAAACACCAAGTTGATTGCAATAGTCTGTGTAATACGCAACACGGGCATTAACGGCATTAGTATTTGCGCCATTACATTCGAGTTGACCGTTAATGGCTCGAATGGTTGCCCCGAACCCTTGGCCGGAAGTTATGACAGAGTGAACGGCGTTCATCCAATACCACAGGGCGGCCTTGAAGGACACGACTCTGTCTGTGGCCACAGTCTCCGGATTGTTTAGTCCATCGAAGCCAATGCTTGCTCCGGCTGGACCGTAGTTGTAATTCCATGATAGCTGAAGAGGACCTCGGCCATAGTAACCTTTGTTCGGTGCACAGGGATACTCTGTATTATTCTCGTCGCAGTAATCCTTTGAAGAACCATCTATCTCTTCTGTATAGCAAAAGCCTGCACAAAAAGATTATGCTTTTTTAAAATTTTTCTTTATTTTATGTCACATAGCAAATCTGAATAACACTTAAAGACGCACAAATTATGAGTAATATGTAGTGTAGCAGCCACAAAACCAGAAATTTATCACGAGATGGGCCAAATTAAAGCTTTGATACGAATTTAATGAAATGAGACTATCCAACAAATTATTATTAATATTTTATTTTTAATTATAAAGATCTTATCACTGTATGATACTATACAAAAACTTAGTTTGTAAAATCCGGAAACTATTTATTACTTATTATTAGAAAATTTAATTTGTAACAATTTCACGGACCACTTATTCCCTCCTTATGACTTGATGTAAAATTTTTGAATTATATACCAATATAAATATTCACGTGATATCATTGTAAGCGTTAGTTGTGAGTTAGTGTATTGTTAATGATAATATAAAGTTACGTTTTATAACTTGATTTTGCAGCACATTTTCTTTTTTTTTTTGTTAGTCATTAAATTTGCCCAAATAAGCATTTTTTTTCTATAAGAACCCATTCCTCCATGTAAACAATATTTCCCATTTGATTAGTAAATGTTTAATAATATCCTTTATACGAAAAGAAGTTTTTAAAAACCTATAGCGAAATATAGAATTCTTGAAAACTTAAAGAGTGAATAGGTGAATTTTGAAAATATGAGTGGTCTCCATGTAGTTTCGTCACTGTAGTGCAGAGTAATGCCAAAAACTTTGCACGGTAGAGATACTTTTCCAATAAATTAGAATGCATGAGTAATACTGCAGTAACTTAATCAGAGACTTAATTCAATGTTATCAAATGATTAATTGTGAGTTCAAATATATGTTAGATGAAACCTACTTTCAATCAATAACTATAGTTAATTAGATCATCAGATTAGGCACAATTAATCATTTGATCGCACTGAATTAAGTTCCTTATTAGATTCTTATAGTATTATTGATAACATATAAGTTTTGAAGGAACAAAATACAGGTTCCTGATTAGGTACAAATAATGTCTTTTGAAATATTTTAATGAACATATACAAAAGAATACATGTGAACATTTTTCTTGCGACTTTAGCCCTTTAATTCTCTCGTGTGCGCAGCGCTTGGGGACATCAGGAGAAACCTAACCGGAGACCGGCTCTGAGGGAGGAGACAAGTCAACCGCCAATTTTAGACAAGTTTTCTCAATTTTTAGAGCAATTATTATAATTCCTCCTAGCCTATCACTAACCCGACAATTTTCACAAATTTACGATTTGATGCTCTTAGAAGGATCTAAATGCAAAATATACTTGAATGTTCAATGTGTATGAATGTGTAGCAATGCTATGGTAGAGAAAAAAAGATCATGAAATCTTACGGCCAGTCTCATGAGTTGCATGAGCAAAGAAAGCGGCAATCTCCCGCTTAGAATCATCAGCAGAACCCACACTACCAAATTGAGAATATAAACTGAGGGCTTCAAGAAATGCAGCTCGGGTATAAAACCCCTTCCCGGCGCAACCGGCGCCAGCTTGATCAGCAATCCCATTGAAGAATGCGTCTGTCACAATATCTGCAACTGAACCACCGTTACTGCTTGGTGGTGAGAAACAAGGGCCTGCCTGGCACCCTGGGCCACAGTATTCATTGCCGCTACCACAATAACCATACTGGCTACAACATAGGTCCGCAGCACAGCCACAATTCTGACCCACAACTGATTTTGGTAAGGCTTCGGCGAGAAGGCAGACCAGAAAAATTGTTAGCAAATTCTTTCTCATACTCAAGGTCATCTTTTCAGTACAAGGAATAGATGATAAGAGTCCAAGGTGTAGAAAACAAGACTGTTTTGTGTCGTGAAAATATGGTCGAGATTGAGAGCAATTTATAGTACTGCACAGTACTAGGTTTTTGAAATGGAATTAAAGTTGGGCAAGCAATTTTCCACACAAACGTGTGGGGTATGGCTAGAGAAGACTTGGACTTGACTGCTGCATAAAGCTTAGACCAAATCATGCATCTCCAGTCTTTGTGCGTCACATATTTTATTTTGTGATTTTTTTCATGAAATGTGTGATTTTTTTTTTAACTGTTTAAAAAAAGGGTGGGATTAAGGAACAACGCCCAACGACCATGCCGATAGGCCTTCATTGGTGGGATCATGAAATGTGTGGTGCTCATACATTTAAGTTACAATAATGTTACACTGACCCAATTTTATGATTAAATTTGGAGTTCAAATGACATGCTACTATGTTATTTTGAGTATTTATTGGGGTCCAAATAACATGACATTAAATAAAAAAATTCAAGTCAGTTGTCATATCATTTGAACTTTAAATTTGATCGGTCTAGTGTTATTTTGTAGGTTAGAATATTTGGGATAAAACTTGTGCAGCATAATAGTTTCCTTAAAAATAAGCTGATTTTTATTCTTCGACTATGTATATGTGTGTCTGGTCATAAATGTCTTAAAGTCATTGTGGGTCCTACAATACTTTGCATATATTTGTAGAATTCTACTAACCTTAATGACCTTCTTACACGTTTAGATATTAAATTGAGATCATTCTCAATCAATATTTAGCTAACAACATTCAAAAATATCTTTATTGTTACACATACTATTGTGGAAGTTTG